GTCTATTTTCTCTTGCTCCCTCTCGTTCATTCTCCAGCTGCTCTTCAGTGAAATTGTGTCGTCTTTCCCTTGCTCTCTCTTGCTCTTTTGCCCGTTGCTCGTCAGCAAAATTTTTTCTCGCTCCCTCTCCCGTTGCTCGTCGGTAAAATTGCTCCTCCTTTCTCTGTTTCTTTCTTGCTCCATTTCCCGTTGCTCGTCAGTGCAGTTTCGCCTCCTTTCTCTGGCTCTCTGCCGCTCTCTCTCTCGTTGAGCTTGTCTTGATTACCGACTACTTTCCAGTTTTCTCTGCCTCTCTCTCTCTCTATACTCCAAACTAGAGGACATAATGAATGAAAATTCTAGAAAATACGAATGTAAAAACAATTTCTGTCAACCGATACAAAAAAAGATAATTTCCTTTTATTCTGAGTTGACTTCGCTGAACTTCTAAGTTGTTTAAGTCTGGTTTCAATAAAATAGTAATAATAATCTTTATTGAGATTACTTTTTCATATAAAATATGGTTTTCAAAAAGGATCTCATAAAATTAAAAAAAAAATACAAAATACACAAAATTCGCAAAGACATTAAAAATCTAAAATATGTAAAAACTATTAAAATGTACAAGATATTAACTCAAATTCATTTAAATTACAAATTTAAAAAGATTACTTTTAAAAATATTCAGAATCACGGATTGACTGATTGCCTGGCTAAGGGAGTCAAAATCCTTGGTGGCATGAAATTCATTTAAATTACAAATTTAAAAAGATTACGTTTAAAAATGTTCAGATTCACGGATTGTCTGATTGCCTGGCTAACAGAGTTAAAATCCTTGATGGCATGAAATGCAGTCCGTTGCTTGCCCCAATTCCTCTTGACACTTGGAAGTCTGAGATTCAGCTTAGTTCTGGTATTATAATTATGTTGTTCTTGCTGTCTTATGAAGTTCATATCATGCTCAACAAGTCCATTTAAACACTTATCCACATAAATACATCTTCTCTGAAAACGCCTTTTTTCTAATGGAACCCACTTAAGAGTGGCAAGCGCATGCGTAGCAGATGAATAAAGAGGTCTGTCTTTTTAATAAAATCGTCGGAATAAGACGTTCTGAACGTTTGACCAGTAATTCCAATGTAATACGAACAGAGGGGTTTGTTCCAGACGTATTAGTTTATTTCCGTAGACAAGACTATTATAAAAAAGAAGGCGTGTACTAAAAGGTAATAAATGCTTAATACGATTAAGGAGACCAAGCCTTTGATTAATTTTGCCAGCAATGTATTCAACATGCTTTGTCCATGTAAAATCAGATGATATAAAAATTCCAAGGTATTTGAAGCTGTTGACATTATTTACATTGTGGTCGAAGATTGATACTGTTAGAGCCATTTTGCTTTCCAATTTCTTATTACTACCTACAAGCATACATTTGGTTTTCTCGAGATTCAAAGTTAGCTTGCATGACTATGATCGTCCGGATCGTCCCAGTCGTCTCAAAAAATGTTCAGACGATCGGGACGATCTTATGGAAACGCTACCCAGACCATCGCAAACGATCCGGACGACTGAGACGACCTCGATCGCTCGGATAGAGTTGAGTTCTATCCGGACGATCGGGACGATCATGTAAATTTTGAAGCGATCATATGGAAACGTTCTCAGACGACTGGGACGATCGGGACGATCGAAGGCTATCCCAGAAATCATCACTTTTATTTCACTAATCGAGAATAAATTCAGCCCGGATGGCGCTGAAGCCGAAAAAATAATACACAAATGTTCGCGCGCGAGAGCTCCGCTATAAACGATCTACCAAAGGTACTAAAACATTCAGCAGCAGGCATATATGCGGATGATACCACTATCAGTGCTAATGCTGATTATAGATCAGCACCTGGAACCTTAATTCAAGTTCTTCAAGCTGATGTTGGTAAAGTTGCACAATGGACCACAGACAATAAAATGGTACTTAACGAGTCCAAAACTAAAGCTATGTTAGAAGCTGGCAAACGTCTATATAAGAAGATGAGCAGCTCACTGTCCATGTAAACTCAGTCGAACTCGAACAAGTCCAGGCTCATAAACTGATAGGTGTAATTATTGACACTCAGCTTAATTTTAATAAGCATATTGATAATCTCTGTAAGAAGCTAACACAGCGTATTGCTGTTTTGAAAAAAAAATCAGGCGTCATTTACCCTTAGATCAACGAATTCTTTATTACAATGCCATGATAAAACAAACCATGATGTATGGCTCTAGTGTGTGGGTTCTACATCCGTTGATAATTTAAATAAGGTCTTCAGGCTACAGAAGCGGGCCGCACGCGTTATTCTCAATGCTGATACTAGAGCAAATAGAGTAGATCTGTTTAGAGAACTCAATTGGCTACTGATTAATCTTAGCTTCAAGAAGAAAAGGTGCGCATTAGTTTATACACGTTTGAAGGGGGTGTGTCCCGATTATATGCTAGAATTACTCAAACGAAACATCGACATTCGTTCTACTGAAAGACAAAGAAGATATGGATCTTTGAATTTAATTTGTCCAAAGTATAAAAGAGAATCAGAAGGTGCTAGGACTTTTCAAGTATCAGCCACTAGGTTTTGGAATTCACTTCCCAATGAAATTAAGTGTAGCTCTAGTTTAGAAATTTTAAAGAAGTCTTTATATAAGCATTTTTTGGAGTCTTATAAAGATGTTCATCACTTTACTATAGCTTAGGCTATTCTACTTTATTCTCATTTATTATATAGACACGAGTGTTTTACTGGAAAATATACCACTCGTAAAATTCATAAAAACTACATCCGGGACCCGAGTGGTTTATTTTCCGTAATCTCACACGTGAGTTTATCGATGACGTAATTTCGGTAATTTCCCTCTATTATTTTTTCAATATCTTTTTGTCTATATAATAAAAAGAACATTACACGGCGGCTTGAAGATATGAATTTTATTTTCTCGTGGCAAAAACAATATTTTACTCACTCGCTGCGCTCGTTCGTAAAATATTGTTTTGCACGCGAAAATAAAATTCATATCTTCGCGCCACCGTGTAATATCCTCTATATATTTTATATTAATTCTTAGATAACTCGTATTTTAATTGTTAAATCTCCTAGTTTCATTACTTCATTATTTATATGTATTTGTGTTTACTTTTAATTTGTTTTAAGGGCCACGAGTTTATCAGTATTTTATACTGTCAAGTGTCACCCTAGAAAAATAAAGTTGATTATTATTATTATTATTATTATTATTATTTACACTTTGCATAGAGTTTAAATTACCTGAGTGAGGTACATAACGACTAAGATGCATTTCTACTCATTAACAGAAACTTACCGAAGACCGACAAAGATCGGACAGACAGTCGACTATAGGCCCCCTCTCACCTCCCAGTAAGGATTTAAGGCCTGGGTCAAATGTGTGTTCGGAGCATATGAATGACTGGCAATATCTGTGACGATAGGTTTTGCCCTTCCAAGCACAAATCGGGGAAATAAGCGAAAAGAGAACTCGAGTGACTTCGGCGTATGAACAACAAGGGGGGAAACTAACTCTGCAACTCGCTTGGCTAGCGGGAAAGGAACTCGTCACTATTCCAAGGTACTAGGATCTGCTACAACAGGAAACAGGGCAGGACTCAAACTTGGACTTCAACAGTTTAATCTTCAACTCGTGCACGTAAATCATACAGTCCAGTAAATCTGCAATGTAAATCGTACAAGCATATAACTCCGCAATGTAAATCGTACAAGCATATAACTCCGCAATGTAACTGATCGTACAAGAATATAACTCCGCAATGTAAATCGAAAAACAGGATTAACAGTGCTCTATTTGTACTAACCGATCAATTTATTGCAACATCACAAAACAACTGGAAAGAAGGCTGAATAAGATCAGCTGAACACCGAAAACAAATCTGGATAAATTCAGTTTTAAAGTTCATATGCTAAACTAAATAACTCAAAATTAAATGTCAGTCAAACAAGTGAATTTAGGAAATTTACAAAGAAAGCTGTGTAAAAGAATTCGAGTTTCCTTTGCTCAGGATTCCCTAAAATGTCAAAACTAAAAACTACGAACGGTTGGTATTTGAACAGGCGAAAGGTCTATTTATTCAGTGACTAAGCTGTATATCTATTCAGGAACAAATTATCCTTTTAAAAGTAAACATTGAAGTAAAATGTGTATAATTTAAGGGAACTAAAACAACTCAATGCCAATGCAATGTTAATTACGGCTAACACAACTTCAAAGGGAATATTTAAAAGCTAAATAAGAAATTCGAGACAAATAAAGAATTCATGGGAAATCTCTCCTTACATATCTCTCGCTAGGAGACCTAGAACGAAATGAATTTTTCCCCAAAAGTAAACCTTGAGGTTTTCTTGTGCCGTAACGTTTAATTATGATCACGTGACATGTCGCGTGACCAAAAATTGAAAATGAAGGAAATTGGCGAATTGGTGGCGAATTTACTTTGTATAAGTAAACAAATTGGTATTTCTGGAAGAGGATAAACATACCTAATGTTATACGTTTAGATTGAATGTACAGGAAGTTTAAAATTAAAGTTTTAAATAATTCAAAATTAAATTTGGGCATTTAAAATTACGCTTTCCCTCATAATTTTTTTATTGAAGTGCAATGGACGGTCATTCCAAACGTGAAGTGTTAGAAATATTTAATATCAATTAGAAAAATGTTGTTGCTCGATTCCTTTTCTTAAACCGCCCACCAATTGGTCAATAATTTACGATTTTTAACAAAATGATCACGTGACATATCAGGTGACTTATCAACACAATATTTATACTTGAAAATGTTAAGGACAATGAGTTCTTCATGTGCGCCAAATTTTAATTCAGCGCCATCATCTATGCCAAAGTTATAGTCAATAATTCATTTTCCACAGGTAAACCCCTTAGTCCCAGGCCTCCCTAATTAATGAATACGCAATCTTTTTAGGTCCACCTGTACAGAGTGCTGTTAATGTTCTTTTGGTTCTCATTTCCTGAATTAGCAATGGCCAAGTAAGTATAACCCTTGTGCTCAAATGACGTCATATCAACAGCTCCAAAAGTTGAAATCTTCTGGTATTCAGTGAACTGGTCCTGAGAGAACCGATACACCACTGACTTTATGTGGTAGGTGCCACCCCTACGCCGATTAGCCGCACCAAGAAATGTTTGACCGCACATAACAAAGGGATACAGGACCCTGGCCCGGTAAGTAGGAATAGTCTTAAATAGGAAAAACTGACTTCCATTCCACTTGTGAACGAACGACTGTGTGGGTTGAGAGGCAGTGGCGAGAAACACATCATCATTAATGTAAAAGGACTTTACATTCATTGCACTATGCTTTTGAAGCTTTTGCAGCTCGACAAAGTGCATCCCAGCCCTCTTATAAACTACTGATGTTGCCGACGGGACGGCGTTTGCAAAGGCAATGTAGCTTTCATTGTTAATTACAAACGCAGCACTTCCACGACCTGCCTCTGTCGCTATCTCCTGAAACTTTTCAAACATGTTGTTTTTCCACTTGTAGATGGTTGAGTTGATACTTTTCGTAACATCATCAAAGAGATTGCATGCGGTAAGAAAAGGTTCTTTCGCTATTGTAAAAAAATTAAAGCTGGCTCCTCCTTTCGTTGTAAGGTTTTGAAAGGCAACAAACAATGTTCCATTCCAAAGATAAATAACTGAGTTCAATCTGAACGTATTTTCATTTTGAACATTAGCAACAGCAAGATAATGTTCGCCAGAAATTGTAAAATATTCCACGTCATGCCCTCCATGTGTGCCTATGGTCTGGTAAAGAAAGAATTTTTCAGTCAAATCGTTGAACTTGTAGATAAAAGAATCTGTGTTATATTTTTCGGTGGTATCACTTTCATGGTTGGCGAACGCTAGAAAAAGACTTCCGTTAATGGTGAAATGTTCCACGGCGTGAGCTCCTCTGGTTGGTAAATCTTGGTATTTTTCAAAGTGATAACTGGAACAATCTGGATAAGAAAACAAATGAGAGCAATTCAGCACTGAAATAAATAAATTTCCTTAAGCCAGTTTTTTTCCTGAACACTTTAAAAATGCCAGAATTTTGGCAAATTTGTAATCGTTATTTTCCCAGCTATGACGCAAACGCTACATTTCACGTTTTGCCGGTTTCTCGAACAGCAAAACTCTTTCGAAACTTTGGTTGTGATTTTTGTAAATGTTTGACCAAAGACAATTTGCGACCAAATATGAAGAATTACCACTGCTGTATATGTGTCGGGTGACATAGGGTGATCGTGGGTCCCACAAAGTACGACAGAAATACAATTAAATGTGGTTTAACTCGGTGTCATAATGTGGAATCCTAGAGTGCGCGTGGATGACGGTCTTGAGATGGCTAAGATTTTACCGACTTTTTCCCTTCCTTGAGGTCTGAAAGAAGAAGTATGTGTGGCAAAATAAATCCGAAGTATAATACATCTTACTGTACTTTCATTAAAGGTGAGCACTGCATTTAGCAAACTTTAATGTTCAACCAACTAAAGCACAACTGCTTGTATGCCTTTGTTACCCAAATAAACGTCATGTGATCAGTTATCAAAGAAATTTCCCCTTTCCCTTTGTCTTTTCTTTTTTAATTATGCGTACATATGCAGCTAAATGTAATGCCGAAATTTGGAAGAAACGGTTCTCTTCGGTAACATCACATGAACTACATTTGGACTGAATAAAACATGAAAACTGCAGTCTATTAAAGTTAATCCGCTCAAACATAATTAAAGGATCGCTGTCACGGCGGCAATTCTTGTCGGAGGCATATGGGACAAAACCTGGACAAGTTGTTTATAATCCATTGCCTCGTCTTTATATTTCGTTCCTTACTCAGCCGTTCTTGGACAACCGACGCAACGCTTCTGTCTATTCTTTCTTCTGTACAGTGAGGTTAACTTAGTACATGATTTGTTTACAAAAAAATTGTTATTCTTAAGGTTTATCTTGTGTATGGCCGGGTTTCTTAATAATTAGTTTATAGTTTCTTAATAATTAGCTCACGGTACAAGGTTGTTCAAGGTTAAAAAGCCCACGCTGATAGTACCTGCCTTGAGGAGTAGTGTCGTTTATTTTATGGATTACCGCCTTAAAGTTCTACTACGATCAAATCCTTGGCTATCATTTTTTTTTTGCTAGATTGGCAGTTTAGTACTTGCAGTACATGGTGTGCAAATTATAGCTTCATACGATTAAGGAAAGTGGTCGTTTTTTGCGCTCAAAAACCATTAATTTTAATGCGCCATTAAAACGCTATCTTTCCGTGGCCTGGTTACCAAGAGCACAAGACAATTGCTTTGTGACGTCATTTTCTTAACGCAGTTCACACGTACAGCATGACAAATTTCTTGAAGAACCCCGCTCGAACAATATTCCCTTTCCTCCCACTTCGATGCGTTCTTGTTTAGGAAAACTCTTTCGATCTTACTACATTAGGCTCCGCATGTGTGCAGCAACCGCTTCAGTCGATAGAATTGAGCTGCACCCGAGTCTGACAACTGAATGAGAGATTCGAGGAATAGGTTTGTTTCCAGCTGACAGTTTCGCTGTTTTCTCGGTTTAATAACTTCACAGTGAAATCACGATGACGTCATTTATTATAAACAAAGATCCGGAACCATCCACCATCTTGGGTCCGCCATTTATTAATCAATTAATTAGATGTATATCCATTTTACTTAAAACTCGTATAAATCGAAAAAATCGTGATGGAAGAATTGATCTGCGTATTTTTAAATTTTGAATTTGGTGGTTAGCTGCTGCGAGTCCTCAGGAACTACGTATCCGATTCTTGCCAGTAACTGTTTGTGTTATGGCTTAGAAGGATTGGCGCGGTAATTCCAAGATATTTGAGGAAGAAGGGCTTAGTAGAACGTCTCTCATGAAGATGTGATTGTTTCTTTCTACTTTCTATGACATAAACTATAATTTTATCTCTTCTTTAGTCGAAATTTCAAAATTCGATCCACTCTGTCATATATATTCAGACCATAAAGCAAAAGCAATAGACCTTTTTACCGATACGGCGGCCATATTGAATTAATTCGATTTAAGGAGTATTATAGGATGCCCAGGGGGCATGAGCACATTTCGTTGGTATTTTCGAGCGCTTTTCGGGACATTTTTTCTTAAAGTTTTCTTAGAATAAGATTGTAATGGGAAAAAAGATTCTTGTGCCGTGTTTGGATGTAATAATTATCGCCTTTTTCCCGAGAAATATACAGTGAAATACATTATTTCTAATACTAAACTAGAAAAAGGCGATCATTACTACATCCAAACACGGCACAAGGATCTTTTTTCCCATTACAATCTTATTCTAAGAAAACTTTAAGAAAAAATGTCCCGAAAAGCACCCAAGCCCTTTGGGCATCCTCTATTATCAAAAACTGAATCATTGGTTAACGAAATTCTAGCATTTTGATTGGCTTAGCCATTATGGTATATGAGCTATTATACCATGCTCTCCATATATGGTCGGTGTACGCTTCAGTTTAAAATTGGAAGCTAGCTGAGATTTTTTTCGCGAAGGATAGAACGGCGCCCGAAGCAAATTGTTTTAATTCATTTCTTAGAACACTAGAAATGCACTTTCATCGAAAGAAAAAAGACAAAAACAACCAAAAAAGCCACAAGAGCTTGTTTGAAAGTTTGTCGAAAAACACATGAAAACACATGGAACTAAAGTACCTTGACCAGCTACGAAAGAAGACAAGTGCTGTTTCTTCATGATCGCGAAGTCATTCGCCGATCGAGTCACTCGCCGATAGATAACTGCGGCTTGTTTATCCGACATCAAGAATATAAATCACAAGTAACCAGCTACAAATACAGGCTATGTAGCCATTCACTAGAGCAATCGAGGCGGCAGTATAGCTTCTTTTCTCGTTCAGCAAAACCAGCTTGTGGCTTCAAAGAAGTTCATAACAACCGACCGAGGTAATAGTTTTTCTCCGTTGTTCTTACTTTTATAACTGCACCGAAAATCCAAAGGCACAGTAATTTTGACAGCTGTCACTTAAAAATTCTTTTCCTTCACATTATCTGCCAGGTTTTTTTTAGCTGTTCTGCTGTGTAAAATCCTAGAATCCCGATGAGTTTTTAAAAAACTTATGTTCATCGCTACAATGTTTTGATTTTTGATTCATGCAGTCCAGGCGAGTCCGTTCGCGCGTTGACAGTTTTGATAGACGTGTTCCATGTGAATAGCGGAAGTCCCTTGTCTTTTCCGGTTTGTTCTAGTCGGAGAGATTCAACGAGATTTTTGTGGGCGTTTTTAATAAAACAATTATTCCACTCGCGCTTGTTGGATATGAGATGATTATAGCCAATTTGGCGCTACGCGCCTCGTTGGCTATCTATTATCTCATATCCAACTCGCCCTCGTGGAATAATTGTTAAATACTCCTTAAATTGAATTAATTCAATATGGTCGCCGTATCGGTAAAAAGGTCTATTGGTCGAAGTTCAAGTAAAGTTTATTTTCTTACTAAGGAAGAAGCAAATTACGAAACGTCACTGACGGCCTTTTCGGGAGATAACTGGCTGACAGGTGCCTAGCAATATTAACACAAATTCCTTGCCGGTGGCAATAAAGCAGGGCTGCTATTGCTACGAGACATTAAAGATTAAAGAATTAGATTCCCGATCCAATACAAAAAAGTAAAATATTATTGTTATCATGACAGTGTAACTTCTGGCCTTATACGAATTTCTTTCCAGCTGAGTATAAATACAAGGACATATATATGTTTGTGGCGATTGTGGCTCATTGGCTTTGTTTGCATTTATCGCGATTGTGGCTCATTGACTTTGTTTGCATTTATCGCGCTGGTCGCCGGTTTTACGATTTATCACCGATTCCACATTTAAGTGCTGTTCCTTTTAGAAGTGAGTCATACCGGCATAACACTGGTGACCATCTCCCGTGAATCCTGGCTGACAGCTGCAATTTAAGTGTCCAGGGGTATTTATGCAAGTTGCATTTTGGTGGCAATCATGGCTATCTTTTCTTCTTGAAGCTAAGATTAATCATTGCCCATTAGTTTATAAACGTTTGAACGGGGTGTGTCCCGATTATGTGCTAGAATTACTCAAACGAAACATCGACATTCGTTCTACTGAAAGACAAAGTAGATATGGATCTTTGAATTTAATTTGTCCAAAGTATAAAAGAGAATCAGAAGGTGCTAGGACTTTTCAAGTATCAGCCACTAGGTTTTGGAATTCACTTCCCAATGAAATTAAGTGTAGCTCTAGTTTAGAAATTTCGAAGAAGTCTTTATATAAGTATTTTTTGGAGTCTTTTTGGAGTGTTTTGGTGGCAATCATGGCTACCGTTGCTGCATTTATCGATATCTAATTAAAAAGAAGGGTAAAAAATGTAAAACATAATTCAAGATCGACACAAACCTTCAGATCAATTGAAAATCGGGCAATATTATACCATGACATTGGCGGCCATTTCCTGCAAATCTTGACTGACAGCTGCAATTAAAGCGTCCAGCGGTATTTGCACAAGTTGCATTTTGGTGGTAATCACGGCTACCTTTGCTGCATTCATCGATATGTAATCATGACAGTGTAACTTCTGGCCTTATACGAATTTCTTTCCAGCTGAGTATAAACACAAGACATATTATGTTTGTGGCGATTGTAATTGGCTTTGTTTGCATTCATCGCGCTGGTCGCCGGTTTTACGATTTATCACCGATTCCAAATTTAAGTGCAATTCCTTTAAGAAGTGAGTCATACCATAACACTGATGACCATCTCCCGTGAATCCTGGCTGACAACTGCAATAAAACTGTCCAGGGGTATTTATGCAAGCTGCATTTTGGTGGCAATCATGGCTACCGTCGCTGCATTCATTGATATCTAATTAAAAAGAAGGGAAAAAAATGTAAAACATAATTCAAGATCGACATAAACTTTCAGATCAATTGAAAATCGGGCAATATTATACCATGACATTGGCGGCCATTTCCTGCAAATCCTGACTGACAGCTGCAATTAAAGCTTCCAGCGGTATTTGCACAAGTTGCATTTTGGTGGCAATCATTGCTACCGTTGCTGCATTCATCGATATCTAATTAAAAAGAAGGGAAAAAAAATGTAAAACATAATTCAAGATCGACACAAACCTTCAGATCAATTGAAAATCGGGCAATATTATACCATGACATTGGCGGCCATTTCCTGCGAATCCTGACTGACAGCTGCAATTAAAGCTTCCAGCGGTATTTGCACAAGTTGCATTTTGGTGGCAATCATGGCTGCCGTTGCCGCAATCATCGATATCTGAATAGGATTAGTAAAAAAGAACAATTAGCAGAAGAAGTTCACGTAAACTAAATTTCCTCAATAAGAGAGATACAAGTTACGAAATGAAGTGGACGTATTTTGGAAAACTATAGCTGAGGAGAAAAAAAAAAGTGTCTGGCAATATTTACACGGGTTGCATACCGTTGGAAAGCTTATCTGCTATTGCTAGGAGACAGAAAAAAACAGTGAAGTGTTAAAAAAAAAACGCGATTTTCGATCCATTATTAAGAAGTAAAATAAAAGGTGTATTGTGACACTGAGGGAATTTTTCGCCGGGTTGCCTTTCTTTCATTTATATTCAGATGACTGGAACTTTAGCAAACTCGGACATTGTTTTCCCATGACATGTGCGGAATTTTGCGCCGGGTTGCCTTTCTTTCAAGCTTAAGTGCACTTCCTGCTAGAAGTGAGTCATACCATAACACTGGTGGCCATCTCCTAAGAAACTTGGTAGACAACTACAATTGACGCTGCATTCGTCAATATCTATATAACATGTTGAGAAAACGTTATATAACATTAGGCCGGTTTCTGTATTTTACAAATTTTAAATAAGCTACTCTTGCCCCACTGTATGGTTGAAGTGGGAACGCGGATTGTCTGTGTAGAAATTTTTGAACACTGTGTCAGGCGAGGCGGTAGGTTCGAACAAGGTCTGTGGGAACGGTGGTACGATGGGTGCGCACATACCCTCCCATGGACCGCGTCCCGTGTTTTGGAGGGTTGAGTCTCGTCATGAACAAGTATTGGGTGGGGGGGGGGGGGCGGGGTTACGAGAAACAAGTTACAGAATCTAAAGCGACCCCAAAAATATAACCCTTTCCCTTTTAAACACCTCACATCTCATATAGGTAATATACTTCACAGGAGTCAGGGAACATCTTTGGTCTGGCACACGATCTTACACGTCTCTTTTCATTGTTTTACAAACTGATCC